ATTTACAATTCCCGTGTGATACGATTTGTTTTTATTTCTCACAGTTACAATCACGAACAACAATAATTTACTACCTTAATTATTATAAATGCGAAAATAAGTTTGTTGATTTGTTCCGCTCTCATGCTTAAACTACTGAACCGATATTGGTTAGTTTTGATAGAGGGATCTTAAGTACAAAGATCGTAGATCGTATGTCGATTTCATTGAAGATAATTTCGAAAAAGCCAAGGTGAGTTGAGAGGAATAAAAATTTAACCAGCCTGCTTATATGACCAGGCTAAATTCGAATTTGTTTTTTGTTTAAAGAGATCCAAACACGGTTGTCACCAATGAACCAATTACCAATTTGTATATTTGTAAACGCACCTACGACACAGGAGAAAATCCTAGTGTGGGGCAACGTTTAAAGAAAACAAAAGAAGAAGCATTAGTATGAGTTTTTTTACGTTTAACGTAATCAAAGCCAGTACATATGCGTCTGACGCTCTGATTGGCCAGCTCCCATGAACCAACCAATTATAGCTCCGAATGCGGTCTCGTTCGTACTAAGCCCTCAGATGCTTGAAAGCTTCCAGAAAAGAGCGTCAGCTAGGCTTTTCTGTAAGATATCAATTCGAACTCTTGAAATGAGTGCGATCGCGGTCCGCCATGTCATTGGTTCTGAGAATAATCTCGACCAATGACGGGCGAGAATGCGAACGAGCTCGCTTCGAGAGTGCGAATTGACAACTTACAGTATTCTGTAATAGCCTAGTTGTACTCCTTTTGTTTTAATTCCTCTTAATTCTTCTGGTGTTACATATGGTGTTGCAATTGTGGGAGAGTTATGCTTCGGCACAAATGGGCTGGCTCGACCGAAGTGTTACCACGGCCTCACAGAAAACTGACATGAAGTAACGCTTGTCTTGTGTTTCGTCATGTGAGTGAGGTTACCGGAGGCCTAATTACTTCCTTCCCCAATCTCTCCAATACTTGAATCCCCAATAATCCTCAAACTCCTAATCCTCAAAAGGCCGGTAACGCACTTGTAACGTCTCTGGCGTTGCAGGTGTCCGTGGGCGCCGCCGATTGCTTACTATCAGTTGATCCGTCAGCCCGTTTACCGGCTTATCCCATAAAAAAGTAGGTATGTCTGTATATGTTATGGGCAGTGTTTAGGCAATATAAGGCGTTATACTATATTACGTCGTATTAATTATCTACTTTTACTTAATTACAACAATTATTTGCACTAGCTTTTCTCTGCGTTGTCACCTGTTATTAAATAAGTGTTGTGGCGTGTTTAACAATAATACTCTTTAAGATTATATCATGAAAATAAATACAGACATAGAAAATTTAATATCCTGTCACTAAACCAAATATTAGAAAACTGACATACTCTTCCTACTCATAATATTATCATAACATCAACAGCCCGGTCCGTGGCAGTCCACTTCACGACGACCTATAAGCCTTCATTGAAAAGGGTTGGTCGTGACTCGTGATCTCCACGCTTGGGGCTGGAAATCGTAGTTTAAAAGGTTCAGGCTATAGTTCAAGTTCATCAGAGAGTGCTGCTACCCAATCTCTGTCAAATGTGTAGTCCCTTAGTCGGTACTTGCGAAACTGCCAGAAGAGTAGAGCTATTAAAATATAAAGAAGCCGGTAAACAAGCAGATGGATCACCTGATGGTAAGCAATCGGCGCCGCCCATGCACGCCTTCACACCAGAGGCGTTACAAGTGCGTTACCGGCCTTTTGGGAATTGGGAATTTGAGGATTGTTGGGGATCGGAGTGACTGGAGAGGGGGGGTAACCTCACTCACACGACGAAACACAACGCAAGCGTTGTTTCACGTCGGTGTTCTGTGACGCCGTGGTATCACTCCAGTCGAGTCGACCCAATCGTGCCGAAGCATGGCTCTCCCACAATTAAAAGTTGCTTCCACTCTTAAAAATAGTATATTCTATACTACCATCAAATAATAAAAGCCTGCCTCATTGGCCGAGTGGTCGCAAGTCGCAGGTACGATTGCCGGCCAAGAGGTTTCAGAATCGATTCCCGGGTCGAGCAAAGTACTACTGAGTTTTTAAAAATAAAATTCTCAGTAGTAGCACGGAGTCTGGAATTGTGCCTGGTATATGGCAATAGGCTCACCCCCTATTACACGGGACTCGTAACATTAATAGTGGAAAATGGGTGTTACATTGTACAGTGCCGTAATGTGCACCTTTACCTCACCTACCCCTTCGGGGATAAAAGAAGTGATATTATGTTATAATAAAAGTGAAAAGTACATTAAAAAATGATGAGTATTATGTATATCCTGTCACGTCTCGTCTGCTGTATTTCGAAGTGCATACAGACAACCACACATTAACATACCCCTAGTTAGAGATAGCATTTTAAACTTTACACACATGTCATAATGGTTGAAAATCAAGTGAAGTTGTTTGTCTTTCTCGGATAACGTGATATGCTGGTATTTGTATATTATTATGCGTCGCTTCGTCCCTTCGATTCTTTTAGTATGCGTGTCATAAGATGCTGGCAACGTGTGAACAAACTGACTTGTTGTTATTTATTGTACTGTTTTAGTTTTGAGGTAGAACGCTTTGTTTTATGAGAGGGATTGAGCTATAAATTGTGTTTAAAAGCCGAAATGATATAAAATATTTAAATGGATTTCAAAAATGTATGATTGACACCACGCCTTTTATCCCTGAAGGGGTAGGCAGAGGTGCACATTATGCCACTACAATGTAACATCCACTTTTCACTATTTATGTTATGAGTCCCATGTAATAGGGGGCAAGCCTATTGCCATATACTGGGCAAAAATTAATGAAAGGGAAAATCTATATTCCACACGCTAAAAAACAAGTGTCATGTACAAATGTGTTCTATTAGTAGGTACTAATGGATACAATGACATGTTCATTTCCGAAGTCTGCTATGAAATGGGACCAGTTCAGAACGTCCAAGACAGTATTCTACTGGTCCCTTATGTGACTCGCAGACGAACAAGCCACCAATTAGATATCAGCAATTTAAATATTAATTAACTCGTTGAGTACCGTCATTATAGACACAATTATAGAACAATAGGTTGCGGTCACCGGTGACCGCCTGGTGTTTGACAGTTTAATTAATTAAACAAAACTCAGGACCGCCATACTCAAGGGGGCCCGAAGGACCGACAATTTCTACGATGACGGACACAGACTCGCTACACTGCTGCCCCGTAACGTGCAGCGGGTTCGATTCCCGCACGGAACAAATCTTTGCATGATCCACAAATTGTTTCGGCATGCGTATGTGAACTTGTATGTTTGTAAACGCACCCAAGACACAGGATAAAAACCAAGTGTGGGGCAACGTTAAAAAAAAATTCCAAAAGGGTCCTCAATTGTTATGTGCCCAAAGGCCCCAGCGTAGTCTGAGGCGGCCCTGTATAGGAAACAGTCAATATTAATTTCATGATTATAATTAGGTCCATCGCAACATAGGTACCTGATTAACAATTCTATGCGTTAACAATGAGGACACCAAACAATGGCCAGTTACCTAACGCTAGAGGCGTGAAGTTACTGCTAGTTAATGTAATAAGAATAATATTAATGATATAATTTAATTGAAGTGTGTGTCAAGCATTTAATATAAAATGAAGTAACTTGTACTATTTGCCTATGACCACGGGTTAATTGTGCTATTTAACCTTGCCAGGGTATGAAAATTAAAAATCTAATTAGTCCGTCAGATACGTAATGAAAAAATATTAGACACGTATTTTTTAATTTTGTCGTATAAGAAAACAATACTTAGATAAAACGAATCAAAGCTTAGAAGTGGGAGGTAGCTACGTCATTTTAGAGTATAAATCGTACTCAAAAGTAACGTCATGCGATATTTCAAATCAATATTTTTTATGGTATAAGCCGATAAACGAGCAGCAGATCACCTGATGGTAAGCAATCGGCGTCGCCCATGGACACCTGGAACACCAGAGGCGTTACAAGTGCGTTACCGGTTTTTTGGGGATTAGAAGTTTAAGGATCGTTATGGATTCAGGGATTGGGGAGATTGGGGAAGGGGAGGGTAATTGGGCCTCGAGATGCTATATATCTTCATATAGCACAGAGTCTGAAATTTAAATTGGTTTTCAGCAATAATCCATCTTGATCTTCACTTAAATTGGATTTTTAACACAGTTTTTCATAAAATTGTTGTAATTTTAATAGGCCTACCACTCTATTGCCCCAGGGGATAAAATTATTAAAAGTACGTCCTTAATTCATTATTACACCCACTGCATCATCACTACTGCTTGCCCACTCAGAGCGTAACAAGCGTAAAGTTTATATAACACTAAGTATAGCTACAATAATAAACATTTCAACAAATCAATGTACTGATATTCAGTGAAAGCCGGTGAGTAGTACCACACCTGCGCGTACGCATACCAGCCGACCGCGACATACTCTGCGCGTGCGACGCATTGCTGGCCAATAATGATACGTTGTTTTTTTATAAATTTTATGATTATTGTTGAAGGAATGCAACTTTTAATAAATATAGGAAATTGAAAATGTAGATTTTGTATAGGTGTTTCCTGAAAATATCGATTCACTGAGCGAAAAAATCGCCACTAAATTAACAGTAGTAGTGTACAACAATCTGTTGTCGTACACACGTACGTAGAATGGTATGCCATTCAAGATGTCATAAACCATACACGAAACAATAAACTAAACTCATTAATGTACGTAGGTACCATGTTTTATAGCCTATAGTCATCCTCGATAAATGCGCTATCCAACACAAAAAGAATTATTCAAATCAGACTTGTAGTTACGGAGCTTAGCGCGTTCAAACAAACAAACAAAAAAACAAAGTCTTCCGCTTTATATAATAGTATAAGATATAAAATTATCGTCCATATTACTCAATAATCCTCTACTCTATTCTCAAGGCCATAAGAACCAAATCTCAAATCACTCTTCTCTTATTCCAGGGTTCAGACCCTCGCGTGGCGACCTGCCGCGGGCGGCTGCAGACCAGACGCTGCCAGCTCAACCAGGAGATCAACAAGGAACTACGGCTGCGGGCCGGCGCTGAGAACTTGTTCAAGGTAACAGATAATAAAAGGATTTATTTATTCCACATGACAGCATATCGCCTTTTATCCCCATGGGGGTAGGCAGAGGTTCACATTAGGGCACCTAATGCCACAAAGTAACACCTTTCACTATTTTATGTTATGAGTCCCATGTAATAGGGGGTGAGCCCATTGCCATACACCGGGCACAATTCCAGACTCCGTTCTACTACTGTAAAAATCCAGTAGTATTTTGCCCGATCCGGGATCGAACCCAAGACCCCTTGCCTGGCAGTCGCACTTGCGACCGCTCGGCCAACGAGGCAGTCTTGCAGAGCAGAGCAGAAATCTAAATTATCCAGTAAAATCCACGGAAATTATTTCCTAACAGTTTCTTACTACCCACCCTGATATTACAAAGTCGATCGACATAAAAACCCCGGTTCCTACTTACCCCGCGCGTTTCCTGGTACAAATCACAACATTCTCGAGTAATCGCCATCGCGGCGTGACGTCACGTGCAATTGACACTTTCGCTGTGCACGCGCATTGCGATCTGGCCGTTTTTGTTGCGTTTGATGAAATATACCTTTTAGATAGGGATCGTAACTGGCAAAAGCTGCGTGTTACAAGCGTTCCTCAACTTAGCAACTTGACGGCAGACGAGCCACATTGAATTTGTCTCTTTTTCTGTTCTTCCTGCTGATGTCACAAGAGCAACAGCACTCCTGATAGACCTGAAGCTTTTAAGTCCCCTTTTCTGCAAATCACTGTGGCTTTTGATGTTAGCTGTAATTTGCTCTACGGAACTCCCTAAAGATAATACAACAACAGTTTTGGCTAGACTAGACCTGTTACATTTAAATAACTCGGTTTAATTACCTGTGTGTGTCAATTATCATCCCCAATATCCCCAATACCTGAATCCCAAACAATCCTCAAAATTATAACACCTAATGCATTTGTAACACCTCTGGTGTTCCGGGTGTCCATAGGTGACGCCGATCGCTTTCCATCAGGTGGTGCTCTTTTACCGATTTGCATTTGCGACGTTAAAACGATCTATCATCTGTTTTTTCGCCAACAAAATCGCTGAACCTTATCTGCACTTCCTCCAAGCAGTCCTTAGACAAACAAAGACATTACACGACTGACGAGTCATTGTGTCGTGTCGGAGTCGTCGACCGTATCGCCCTTCCATCGTGACCGTTGACCTTGCATTGTGGGACCTTACAGTCGGCAAGTCAGGTGTGACGTAGACTAGTGGCGTAAGACTTGTTCCATATGAAATGAGTGAGTGAGTTGAGAAGATGTAGAAGAAGTTTGGAATATTTTTACGGCCAATTTCAGTAACCAATCTCAATAAAATATCTTCAAATTGAAATCGGTTTTTGAAGAGTTTCGTTCAATAAAAATATCGATCCAGTAATTTCGAATTAACATTGTCGCTGTCGTCAACTCAAATAAACTTTTCTCTTTTCTGTGGATATGTGCGTCGTCAAATAGATTAGATATCTACCTATATTGGAATTCCCAAAAGTTTCCCATCTACTGGTAAGCGATTTGTTCTAGTGTTTCTTTTCGAAATTGTGAGACAGATATCAGACTCTTCTATTTTTACCGACTTAATATGAAGTTCTAATGATGTTAGAACATTAATAAATATGAAATGGGCACCAACCCATCCTACTCCTATAACCTGGGTCCTATTCCTATAGGACCACGACCAATATTATAAATACGAAAGTTTGTGTGTAGGCATGTTTGTAACTCAATCACATTAAAAAGACCAAAGGGATCGGGTTGAATGGGATCAGAGATAAATTATAGTTTGTAATAACAAATAGGGTACTTTTTAACCCACGATAACGAGGGCCAAACCGCGGGCAGAAGCCAGTTAATCAATACATAGTATAAAACAAAGTCGCTTTCGCTGTATGTCCGTATGTATGCTTAGATCTTTAAAACTACGCAACGGATTTTGATGCGGTTTTTTTTAATAGATAGAGTGATTCTTAAGGAAGGTTTATATCACGCATATTGCACCCGTGCGAAGCCGGGGCGGGTCGCTAGTTTTAAATATACACCTAACTGACTGTGTTACACTTAAGCAATACTATACAGATACAGACTACAATAAAGCATTCACATGTGTCAGCCCATTCACCACAATGGTACAGTCATCACAAAGTACTCACGGTTCGACGTCCTTACTCATTCACATTACATTATAAGTTCAAGAATTGAACCTACCACGACGTACAAAAGGTTAATAATCTAGTTTTTTGTAGTCAACGTGGTACTTGTATGACCGCGCGAGAAGTTACTGCGCTAATAGCTGGTGTACTATGAAGTTTAGTCATAGAAACTAAATGATTGTTGAAAGTTTTGCCACAGTCATCATATAGATGATTGTCGTCGCGGAGAACCTGACGGGTTACCGGGGCTCCGGCTCGACGTACAGGAGAAGGAACGGGGTGGTTTTCAGTCAGTAAGAGTTTGACACTCCCTCCCGCCTCACCCAGTCACCAGCAGTCGTTCGATGATTTTCCCCCCTTAAAAAAAAATAGATGATTGGCAGGCCACCACTTTGCGCATCTCTCGCAGCTTTCTGCCTCGCACAGCAAAACTATGAAATAATCTGTCGTCGGCTGTATTTCCGAACCAATAAGACCTTGAAACCTTCAATAAAAGAACGTATTCCTTTCCAATCAGGTGATCCATCTACTGTTTGCCTCCTATTCCATAAAAAAACTACTCTGTACACTTTCACTCCTAACTATATTTGAATTAAGTAATAAAGATACATCCTAAATATCAGCTTGCCAATACTTAGATGGACATGCACATAATTATTATTATGAAGTGTGACACTCATTAGGAGTCCTTTGACCTTTGATTAACATTCCATTTCTCATAACATTTAGCTACACTGATTTATTTTATTTTTATTTTTTTATTTTTATTTATTTAGAAAACCAACAGCGATACATATGATATAATACAAAATAAAGATATTACAGTTTAGTAAGGCTAATAATAGGTTTCCCTGCTTAACTTAATTTGTATTTACCATGCGAACGGACTTTAAACAATATTTAAAAATAAAGTTTTAATATAGAATTGAAAGTTAAATATACTACTTGTTATGAAAGGGAGATAATAATATTAACCTAATTAAAATATGAATTAACATAGTAAATGCTCCATGGTAAATGCTTTATGGTGAATGGAACAAAGTTGATAGATTTAATTTCCTTAAATAATAATATCTTTATCTTATCTCCCTTTCCCAGGCCACAACGAACAGAAAACTCCGTGAGACGGTGGCCCTGGAGCTGAGCTTCGTGAACTCCAATCTGCAACTCCTCAAGGAACAGCTGGCGGAGCTCAACTCTTCCGTGGAACTCTACCAGAGCGACAGGTAAGATACTCAAATAAGTAATACAAGGATTTAAGGATATAAATTCTTCGTCAAAGCAATTGCCAAAGAGAATTATCATGTTCGAACGTTCTTATAATAAGTTAATTAACCTAAGACTCGTAACTGAGACATTATATTTCATTACATTGCTTAACATTTACTTTCTTGCAATGTTAGCCTTGTGTCCGTATAAATGGTAGTAACTTACCTTATATGTAAACTTAAAGTTAAATAATATAATGTATTATAATTTGATAATTGTATGAAGCAAGCCTTGCTGTAATGTAATGTGTGTGCACTGGATCATTTATTTTGACTAATTGGGCAAATAAGTTATGTTTTTGGAGCATAGATAACGATCTAGATATCCTTGACAAGTTTGTAAATTCAATATTTATGTACAACTAGTTATATGACATCAAGCCGAAAATCCATCATGAGAAAATCATGGTATGGAACAACGATTTTATAATGGCCTATAACTTTTACATCTTAGGTATATATAAACTTTGTCCTGACAACAACGATTATAGAAAAAGAAGTATTATCTAATTCAGTGCAGCCGTACATACAACATGCATACTCACCTATATTTCGGAAATTCTTATTATAATTAAGTTTATACGAATACCTAATACACAAAATGACGAAACCAAAAACCCACACCCTAAAATCAGCCTAAAGGCGTTACTACAACGTATTTATTACGACAGCACTTTCACTGCGCCCTAGGACACCATTACCTTATAAAAACTAGCAATAATAATAAATAATAATATACTTATAGCTATAATAATGTCAGATATATTTAATAATACTTGTCGAGTTATAGTAAAAGTCATAATGATGACCAGACTTAGTTACGCAATGTCGATGAACGTGATTTGCATAAAGAATGGGTTTGGTCACACTGTTAGCGATGTGGTGAGGCGAATCTGTTGTCGTTAATGTCATTTTTATGTTTGGAGATAGTTGCCTGTTTTAATATTACAATTATGACATTTTAAACACGATATCTTGCTATTTTTTTTATAAATTATTTTGAAAAGCGACTGAATTAGTTGGACTGCTTTCTCTGTTTAGTGTGCCCTATGTACCTCTATAACCCTGATTGAATTAACTATAATCGGGTTGATTCTTGCTTAAAACGTATACCACAATACATAACTACTATATGCTACGTGCCATCTACGAACAATGCTGAGGTTAGGAACTTAGGCTAGTTTAAGACCTCCCGAGTGTTGCTAGCTACCTAGCCCTGGTCCCCATCTAAAGTGATGTTTGTTCTCCAATAAAAGAAATAATAGGTCTTTACCTGTGAAATTGCCGCTCTGCAGTACTGGCCATTTCAAATCAAAATAATTTTTTTTTGGGTAAGAATTCTAATTTCAAATGATTTAATTTTATTTTAAAGTCATGGGTTTTTTTCCAAAAGTTGTCATTTGCGACAAAAATGTTTATTGATTACATTTTTGTCGCAATTCAATTTCAATCTTTTTCGTATGTAAAAATTCGAGTAATTATGGAATATGAGTACTGTCGTGGCAGCAACGCGGTACAAGCATACTTACCTTCGTCACTTACACTTAGAACACTTATTACCAACTTAATTTGAAAGCTAGCTTAGCTTACGAAGATTAGTCTAGCAAGCACATCTTTGTATAATTCTGCTGTACCTGTATATGTCATTGAACTCCTCCTAAACGGCTTTACCGATTTAAATGATTTTTTCTGTATGCGTTTGAGTGGCGCCCTGGATGGTTTAGATTCACAAATCAGCCCGTCAGATGGCGCTATCGGTCTTTCCTTTCATATTTTTTTTAATACCCTAATCGCTTGAAATATCATATGCAGGCCAACACTTTTTTTAATACGTCTGTTGGGTCCGCTAGTATTGATATTAAACGATTTACGAAATGCCATTACCAAAAAGATCACGTCCACACTCCACACCTACAAAGAACGCATGATATTACATTATGCACAGCAAAGCCCATAAGACTATTACATGAACTGAAATTGCGCAAAATATATTATATTTATTACTTCTAGTATATTTAACCCTGACATTATTACAGGCTATTAAACAAAGCCGGCTAGTTTGAATGTCACTGTTTACTCATAGATTTTTATTACAAATATTTATTATAGACGGCCGCATTTAAAGTTATACTTAACCATTTTATCTTGAACTCGCGTTGTACGCTCTTTCCTCACAATACACATTCTGTTTATACTGGATTTGTTTAGCCTAATGTGTTGTGTGCACATTAATTTTATGTTATTTGCACGTTGCATAAAATGATAGCTTCAACTAGCCAAGGTGAAAAAGAATGGGTCTAGTGTTATATGTTTTGACGGAAGAGCGTAATAGGTGTTGATTGATGTTAGATAGGCATACTATGTTTACGTTTGGTAAATGTGGTATTATGTTTTTATAACGTAACATTATACCACACCTTTTAACACATAACAATTAATAGAAGTGTTTGTTTGCATGCCGAATTTTGTTAAAGAGATGTTAATGAATTGCGTAAAGTTAAACGTTTTTAATATACATAATTGTGTAGGTACCTATGAATCTTATAATGAAATTAGCAATATTTAACTAATCACTATATGCATATTTCTGTAAATTTTTCACAAGACGATAAAAGTTCACAGAAAATAAACATTGTTAAACAGATATTTAATTTAAAAGCATTACCGCTAGCAGTGGCACCACAACCCAATCAATGATGAGATGACAAACAGGAAACCAGTGCGGTAACTCGGTCCAATTAATCAAAAGTCCAGTTTTTATGTTTTATTGCTAGATTTATATGGTACTAATTAAAATATCTATCAAGAACTTGATATAAATACCATTACGTACGTACGACAATTTTAATTGGACTTTTTTTTAAATGTATAGATAATAAAAGATCTAACTCATTAGCAACTAGACGTTTAATTGATAAAAAGATAAAAATATCTATGGTTATACATACATACATACATAACTTCACGCCTGTCTCCCATGGGGGTAGGCAGAGACTAAGGAACGCCAATCACTACGATTCTTACATACCTCTTTCGCTTCATTAACAGTCATCAATCTTTTCATGCATGCTCGTCGGTTAAGGGGACTTTTAATTTGGCTCTTCTTTAATATTTCGCCAATCTGGTCACTATAATATGTCCGCCTAGGACGCCCTATGTTATCTATGGTTATAAAAGTAAATATAGCATATCTGTATTGAAAGATTCGTGTATTATATCAAATAATGTAAAGTAGGTAACCATATTTTTTGTATCCGCTACACAACTCAAAAACAACTAAACCGATTTTGTAATTTTTTTGAATAGATACCAACGAAGTCCAATTTTATTATAAGACACGTAATGAAAGTAGGAAATATACAAATAAATCAAAATAAGCACTATTTTACTAACTCAGTTTTGTCATGTCAACAAAAATAAATGTTTTAGAAACGAAATCGGAACAGAATGCGATAAAATGCATATTTTATTTATTTATGCTGTTCCGATGACCGGAATTTTGCCGACATTTCAATTTGCATATTGATGTAACGACGACAAGGACGTCGTCGATAGAAATGTGTACATTTATAAAGGTTTTTATATTATTATGCGGACCAAATGTTAGAATTTGATGAATGATAAGTTATTGCGATTTTATTTAAGCGTTGAGTTATGTTAGCTTATTGACAACTTTTTTTTTAACTAAATTATGGTCAAATTCATTACTGTTTATTGACATGTCAAAAAAGGAGAAACGTCATTGAATAATTATAAGCTTAGAAGCCAGATTGTGAAGATGATCGTATTTTTAAAGCAAAATGTAATCATTTTCACGGCATAATTTTATTCGTAAAATTATAACCATTTCTATTTTCTTTCGAAAACGAAGATGGCGGATTGGCGGCAAGAAAGAAACAATACTTACGAACTAACCACAGACTAAAAAGAAGGGCTTTAAAAACAGGTTACACGCTATCATCATGCCATAACACTTAGAGGATGAGTAATAAAACGAATAAACCTTTAGAAGTGTAAAATTCTAGATAATCGTTGTTATTACATATAAAAAGTAAACGCGAGATAAAAGGTTGGACACAAAAACTGAATGGGCAGTGCTCGTAAGTACTAAGTACCTAATTGGAGGCAATGTGGTTACATGGAGACGCTACGGTGCGAAATTATTTATTTTTAGTTATTATTTTTTTTTAATAAGTTTGAACGAGTGTGAAACAGAAAGCGTGTAATTTTGAGACATATTTTTAGGTTCTAGTTTTTCGTACCGTAATAATAAACTAGGCTTAACTTAACTCAAATTGTTTAATTTGATATTAATCACAATAAATTACGCATGTGTATCACACTCTTATTATAATTGATATGGGAAATAATTTCTCTATCTTAATCTTAATTAATTTCTTGCTAATTTAATTATAACAAAATATCGTTGCAATTCAATTACAACTCACCAATTAAACATAAAAGAGATTTAATAAAAAGACGGTTTCCGCTATTGTATTATTTTCCCGCGCTCCGCCATATTGTAACCATAGACTAATAGAGAGGAATGCGCGCGTTAATCTACGTTCTTTTATGAGGTATGCGAACTTTTTCTAGATTTCTGTGTACTTCGATGTAGTTACAATGATTAAATATGTTTATGTTATATTGTTGGCTTTTTAGGAATACCTGTATTTAC